GTAGTAAAAGTACTTAATGCAAACAACTGTCCACTGTTACTATTTTACTATTATACATTAGAGGTCTAAGCTGAAGTGGAGTTCATTTTGAACTATGTTGTATCGGGGAAAAACTCAAACTTTAAACAAATTTGACATCCAAAGAAGTCAGTTGTTCATACAAAGTGTTTGTGTTTCCTTGTGATTTAATATCATCTGTAAACAAATAACCAATACATCATGGTTCCTGCAGCCTTTGGTTAACAGTCCCTCTTAGGTGTGTGTGGGTCTAATACTACTACTTACTGTACATATCCACACTCCATTATATTTAGATTTTAGATTTAGATTTTTCATATTGTATATTTTGTGTATTTTCTATCTATTCCTTGATGTGGAGAGTGAATAATTGTGACAAAGGGATTTCCACTCAGGATCAATATAGTAGTTCTGATTCTAAACCTGAGGTGTATATAGTGCTGCCCAGCTCTTTAAAAAAATAAACAAATAAACTAAACAAATAAACAGTAAAAAAGAAATCAAATACTAAAGCAAATTCCTTCTTGATTAAAATGTTATTTATTTAAAATGTTAAAATCCTGTAGTGTTGTTGTTCTATAATTATCTAGAAATATATGGAATGAATGAAAGATGATAACAAAAATACTTGTTTTGACGCACTAAGTACAAACAATGAAAAACTAAAATTAGGAAATACTTCAGTCAAATCGTCCTTATCGACGATCTTTGGCGCAACAAAAAACCCGGATGTTCCCCATCATCCACCGCGGTACATATTTTTCCTTCCAGCTGTGTGTAGCGACGGTTCGGACGACAACACCCGACACTAATGTCCCCGTTTCTAACGGGACTTTCGGTCTAAGTGGATCCAAGCAGCGGAGCCCGGTGGACCGACAACCTCTCTGACGGCGGATGCCGCTCACGGGGCGGAATTCTGCCCGGAGGAGGAGAAAAACCACGGATGAGACGGCGACCCGGGGAGTCCGCTTCTGCTCAGGTACGGAAAGCTAACCGTGTTAGCATGCTAACAGAGTGACAGAAAGCCCTCCAGGTGTCATCGGCTGCTTTATCTGCCGCATCACAGCGAGCTGGGATTTAAGATGTTGGATCAAATACCGAGACTGAAGGCGAGCAGAGGAGACAACATTTGAGGCTGCTCGGCTCTCTGAATGCTAGCAGAGCTCAGTCTGTGTAACTCAGTGTTAGCATGCTAGTCTGCTAACAGCTAGTGGTGTCTGTGCTGTGGTGTCAGTCCCTGCGGGTTTTATAGTGAAGAGCCAAAGATGAAATTCAAAGTTGGAAACTAAGTATAAATCTGGAGAATGTGAATTAGCTTAGCCCTCTGTTAGCTTGTTTTGCTGCTCTAGCTTCAATGAAATGCGGTCAGGTGAACTACAAACCTGCCCGGTGGCCAGACGCGAGGCTTCAGTAGAGTTTATTATGGTATTTACAAAATAACTTGTAAACATTTTAAGGTTTGAAGGGCTCACTGCTGCTAAAGTGAAACCGTCAGGACAGATTCAGCTGCTTCTTTGTTGGGGAGAAACATGGTCGTGGTTTGTTTTAAATGTTTCTTTTAGATGAACGCACCACATGGTTGCACATTGATATGAATTTACTTTATTATGGAGCAGAAAGTGCTGCTGTCTGCTGACGGGTCACAAACACAAGTTACTTATTACTGGGTATTTAAAGTAACTAGTTGTTACTATAATACTTTCAGATTTGCATAGGAGCAGCAAAGAGTATGCTTTTTTTATAAAACAATGTTTCTTCACGCCACTGGCTGAAATAAGAAATAAAGCGAGTCACTCCCAACATTTTAACTAATGTTTTTGCACATTCATTCATAAGAGCAGCGTTCAGTGTTTTTACACAACGTAAACGCCACTCTCTCCCGACGAGTGCGTGCATCACTGGCCGTAGTGGCCGGAGTTTCTTTCTACAAGTTTCACGTTGCTGTGCTGCTTCAGCAGATGCTTCAATAAATTAGATGTAGAAATGTTCGCGGTTGAAAGCTTTTTGCTGGTCGCACAGAGTTTACAATGGAAGATAATGTTCTTTGCACCTTAGACTGTGACACAATGACAATACAGCTGTCTCCCTTATTCTCCATTCTTCCTTTAGCGTTTAGGCTAGCAGCCGACTTTGACAACATAAGGTCCGGTGTCTTAAACTGCTAATCCGTTACAGCTACTGGGGAAGGTAATAATGTTACAGTAACGCCTTACTGCTCAACACTGGTCACAAACATCAGCTGAAATCCGAAATGGTCTGTCCTGTTTCCTGTGTATGTTCAGGTGATGGCGCCCACACGGATGAAACTGCGTGCGCGTCGGCGTGATAATGCTGGAGGGGCTGCAGCAGGAGGCGATCAGCCGGAAGAAGAGAGAGAGGAGGCGACGAGAGAGCGGCGGCCGCAGCAGCCGGAGGAAGAACACCAACAACGCTTCGACCACAGCTGCTGCTGCCGCCTCCTCCTCGTCTCCTCCCTCCTCCTCCGCCCCCTCGGCACCAGCGAGGGCAGCGATAGCGGTGGCGGAGGAGGCGTCGCCTGACTCCAAGTGCCCGATATGTCTGGACCGCTTCAACAACCTGGCGTACCTGGACCGCTGCCTGCATCGCTTCTGCTTCCCCTGCATCCAGGAGTGGTCGCACAACAAGGCCGAGTGCCCGCTCTGCAAGCAGCCCTTCGCCTCCATCCTGCACTCAGTCCGCGCCGAGGACGACTTCAAGGAGTATACGCTGCGGCCGGCGCCAGCCAACAGCAGCGTCGCTGCCACGGTGGCGATGGTGGCGGCGATGGCTTCGGCCGCGAGGAGCGACCACCAGATGCGGCTGATGCTGAGGAGACACAGAGTGGCAGACGGCGGAGAGACGACCACGAGGAGGCGGAGGAGGGAGAGGGGAGGAGTTGGAGGTAGGAGGGTGGGGGAGAGGACGGGGGTGTGGGAGTGGTACCTGGATTCCCCTCCTCTTGCTTTTCCTCCTCTTCCTCACCATCCTGCCGTCTCTCCCGTCGTTGCAGAGGACAGCGAGGAGGGAGAAGACCTGGAGGAGCAGAGGAGGAGGGGTGGGCCTGATCTGGCGGAGCGTGGGGTCATATTTGAGGGACTGACTGGACTCGGGGGGGCGGCGGCCCCCGCGGCCCCCAACGACCGGGCGTCTCGGCGGCTGATAACTCGCCTGGTTGCGAGGCAGCGGCTGCAGCGAGAAGGTGGAACTGTGCGGCGGCTGAGGGAGAGAGAGACGGTGGCCTTCCGCCGGGCCCTCTACCGGAGCGGCATACGGGTCCGCAGCGTGGCCGGGGTTGATAACCAGGGGCAGCAGCGTGACATCACAGCGGAGAGCTTCCGCCGGAACCCCACCTACCTGAATAGACTCCGCCCCTGGCTGCGGCGGGAGCTCACCGTATTGTATGGTGCGCATGGCTCGCTAGTCGACATCGTCCAGCGCATCATCATGGCAAGGCTGGCCCGCCACGGCCTGGAGGACACACCCACCATAGAAGAAGAGCTGCGGCCGTTCCTGTTGGCCCGCACCGACCACTTCCTGCATGAACTGGTCAGCTTCGCCCGTTCTCCGCTTAGCCTTGAAGACTACGACCTGCAGGTGGTGTACGAGCCGCCAGCCGCCGCCCTGGAGCTGGACGGGATGAGCAGCTCCAGCGACAGCAGCTCCGTCATCGCCATTTCAGAGGGCGAGGAAGAGGAGAGGCCGGCGGGAGGAAGATCAGAGACTAGGCTGCAGGGGTGGGCGGCGGACACTCATGATGAAGTCATCCAAACAGAAAACTGCCTCAGCCTGTCAGCCTGGGATGACGAGACGCCAGGCCCCTCCTACTCCACCGCCAAGCCTTCCTGTTTGCTCGCCGCTCAGGAGGCAGCCAATGAGGAGAGAGGAGAGAAGAGGGGGGAGGAGGGGGAGGAGGAGTGTCTGATTGTCGGATACAAGAAGCCGATAGCAGAGCGGACTCCTGAACTGGTGCAACTCTCCTCTGACACCGAGGAAGAGGAGGGAAGAAGAAGAAGGAGGAGGAGCAGGAGAAGATGGCTGAAAAGCCTCCTCCCCTCCCCTCCACCACTCCTCCCCTGTCTTACCTACCCACAATCCCTCCCTCTACGTCAGGTGCCTACATAGATGAGCAGGGCAACAATGTGAATGAGAAAGATGGCGCGGCGGGCGGACACCGCTCGCGTGCTCACTCCTGGTCATGCAGCTCGGGGAGAAGCGGGAACTCGGTGTGCACGCTCAGCCCAGTGACGCCCAGAGAGAGCAAGCGGCAGCGGGAGAGAGAGAGCTGGAGGGACAGGAAGCAGTCTGGCAGCGAGGTGCGAGGGAGAAGAAGAGGAGGAGGAAGAAGAGGAAGAGGGGGCGGAGAGGAAGAGCGGCACCCTGTACAACCCAAATCGCTCCATTTATCCCGCCATGATGCGTCACCGCTCCCGCTCCTCCTCACCCTTTCACTCCAGCGTAGAGTCCGGCTCGCCGCTGCCGCCGCCCGGCCGACTCCAGCTGGGAGTACCACTGCTCTCAGGTTTCCCCTCTCACCTCCTCCGTCTCCTCCCCCTCACGCTCCTCCTCCTCTTCCTCCTCTCTCCTCTGTTCCTCCCCACAGGCGTCTTCACAGACGCCGCCAACTCCCTCGCTCTCCCCCAGCGATCGCAACAACGCTCACCACGGAGAAAAACCCGGCGGGAAGAGGAAGTACAAGAGCCGCCACCTGGACAGCGATGACAAAGACCCCACCTGGAGGCCCTGCAGCAGCCACCCCAGGGAGAGAGGAGGGAGCCGGGGGACAAGGAGAGGAGGAGGAGGAGGGAGAGGGAAGGAGGGCGAGAAGAGAGAGGCAGAGGAGGGACGCTCACAGGGAGGGCGGCGGGGACAGGTAAGAGCAGACACTTCATGTTCAGACAGTATTCCTCCATTTCTGTGCCTGAAATCTTAAAATTAAACAACAAATTTGATCAGTTACTCGTTTTATGAATCAAACTTCCTCTGGTTGATGCTTTTCTCCGTATGGTCAGTACAGCTGCCATTAAACCGGGATTTATGATGATTGATAAAATCATCATAAATCCAATTAGTCACTATGACCATGAAATAATTAATTGCTCATGAAGCTGTTTGGCTGGAAGTCATTATCACACGGTTGTTGTAAAATCCAGACGGCGGCTTGATGTACACGTAGTCTCACCGCACTGATCTGTGATGAACATGGCGTTGAAGCGCTGTAACTGAGGGGCGGAAATGTCCTTGTTTCTTATCTGTCCTCCAGCAGCAGCAAGAGGTGCCGAGAAGACCGGAGTCCCAGCGTGGAGATCATCTATGAGGGCACCTTCATCTCTAACGAGACGCAGTCCCCTGCCCGCAAACGCCGCAGGAAACGACACCGCAAGGCACAACAGAGCAGGTACGGCATGTCCACGGTCATATGGCTTTAAAAGATAAACATGATGGCAGGAATTGCCAATAAGCTGATTTATTTGTTCCCAGTGGGAAAATCATTAATATCTGCAGCTGACACTAGGTTAGGTTTTATAGGTCGGATTAAAACATTAAAAAAACTTCTATATCATGCAAAAATACCAATTCCAATGCGAAGATTTTACAATTTTATATCACTTTAAACTGAAAAAAATTTGAAAAACATCCTGAATGTGACAGTTTTAGATCTGGTAGCACATGATGAGCATTTTTTGATATTTTGGATGTTTTAGACAAGGTGCCTAATCGATTAATAAAAAAAACGTGACCCCGAAGCTGCGATCGAAGGAGCCTGATTCTACTGCCAATCTCACAGTCAAATCTAATTAATGATACAATCAGATTAAGAAGAGGTAACAAGCATTTTATTGACTCTGAATCAAATTCCGAAACCTGCTTATTTAGTCTTTTCATAAACACAAAAATAACCATCATCAAGACCTCTGTTGAAAAAAATAAGGCTACATAATTTTGTTCTGAACTTTGGAGAATTAAGCTTTCCCTGGTTGGTATTAAACTTTGTTAAACCACTGTCTCTCTCTCAGTTCTCCGGTCATCATTACCCTCGACAGCGACAGCAGCCGCGACGACGGGAACAACAAACACGGCGGCGGCAGCAGCAGCAGCAGCCCACTCAGCAGCCAGCAGACCGTCGATTTCTCAGACCTTCCTCCTCTCCCATTGGTGCATTCTTCCGGTGTGGGCGGAGCCTTGAATGCAGAAATTGGCGAGCTTCCTGTTGACATCCTGGACCGAGCATCTGACGGTCAGAGACCGAGCCGGCCGGCCGACTTGAGGCCACAGGCCCCATCGCCATTGACAACAGCGACAACAGTGAACATGATGTGGACGTGGAAAACATTGAAGAGAGCGGCTCACTGCTGCGATTGGATGGTGATAAAGGACCAATGAGAGAGGCTGATCCAAAGGCAACTACTGCTGTTAGTCGGAGGGAAGCGAGGACTGTGGGCTGTGGCTTTCAGCCAACAGGAGAGAGCGATGCTGCCCCCACGTCAACAGATCTGGTTCGCAAAAGAGCCTCTGAGGTCTTGACTTCCGACAGCTGTCTGCTAGCAACCATTCTTAATGACCTGAAGGAAATCGGCGCACCTAAATGTGACCCTTCTTTGAACCTTCAGCCCAGTTGCTCATCTGACAGCAGGAAAAAGCGTCTTATGGATCAGTGTGAGGTCAGTCGGGCTCGTTCAAACCAGGACGGCTGGTTGACTGAGACAACACATCCCAACCCGAGTTTGCCTGAGGAGCGAGAGTCTAACAACATCGGGGATAAAAATCAGGGCTTTGAGTTTGCACCATTTCGCACCTCCATCCCCCCGCTACCTCCTCTTGAGAGGCTAAAGGAGTGCAGGTTCAGAGAGGAGGGCAAGGACATCCCTCCACTCCTGAAACAGGCCATCCCTGTTGGATCGCACAACAGAAACGTGCCGCCACCATTAAAACACAAAGATGCTGGGAGTCCACATGTGTCTCCCATCTCTCCCATTGACCTGCACTCACCTCAAGCCTCTGTTGACCCTGACCCACTTGTTTTAAATTCTCATGCAGACCTCAATTTAAATGCCACCATCTCCCCCACTGACTCTTGTTTGGGTTCTGACTCTTGTTTGGGTTCTGATCTGCCCAAAGATAACGAGGCCATCCCTCCCATTTCATCGCTGAAGAGACATTTCACGAGTGCTTTGGCACTGAGAGAAGAGCTGGCCTCTAGTAGTGGCATTCCAGCTGTTGAAATGCATTCCTCCTGTCATTTAGCACCCACTGACTTCCATTCAGCTGCTCCTTCTAAAGGTGAAGCATTGACCACTGGCATCAATTCCATGAGTCAGAAACCTCCCATTGATTTCCATTCTTTATCTTGGTCTGAAAATAGTTCCACAAGTGCTGATTGCTTACCACATCGGGACTTCAATTCTATTCGTTCTTCAAAGTTACATTCTGGCCGTGATAGCTCAAAGGAAATATCTTCTGGTCCTACACTGCATCCTGTGAATTCTTCATCTCCCATTGATTTACATTCAGCCAAGACTGGCTGTTCCAGAGACAAGCCCACGAACACTGACTCTACATCTAGAGGTTGCAGGAATAAGACTCAAAGCCCAATTTTCTGGCGGGTAGCACCCATTGACCTCCATCCTTCCAGCAGTGCTTCTGCTGATGGCACACAGGCAGGTAGTGACGTTTTCTCAGGAGCTAACTGTAACGACACATCACCTCTTGTTTTTGCTTCATCCATTGATTCTAGGACTCAGAATCCCTCCTCACCCATTGACTTCCACTCTTCCGGTAAGAGAGAGAACCTGTCAGAAAGGCTTTCACCCTCTAGAGTTAGCGCAGTGCCAACAACAGCTCTCAGCGGCAGGTTGTCACCCATTGACATGCATCCTAGAAGTCCCAAATCTACCGTTGACATCCACTCTTCCAGTGCAGCTTCAGAAGGACTGACAAACAACAAGGCATTGCCATCAGTCAATAATGAGGAAAGACAGCCTCATGGTTACCTGCCACCCACTGATTTGCATCGTAAAAGTCCTGTGCCGCCCGCTAACGTACATTCTTCTACCTTTGTCAGCACTATGATTGACCAACACTTGAACCACACAGCCTTATCCTCCTCTACCTTCCAAACGTCACACAGAAAGGGCAATTCTCTGTGTGAACCTACAGTTGAATCCCACTCAAAACTTACCCACCACACTGACTCTGATTCAGAACCTGACAACCACTTTGATCCCACTTCCAACTCACTGTTCCACATTGACACCTATTCAAAACGCAATCTCTCTGTTGACACTCGACGTGAATCTCAGCCCGTTGACTCTCATTCGAAAAACTCGTTGCTGGGAGCTGAAAGTCTCTCAGACAATCACATTACGCCTTGCACCCAGTCTAATGAGAACCAGTGGAACTCAAACTCCCCCATAGACGCCCATTCAGACTCTCAGTCGCCCATAGACGAACGGTCAGCCAGCAGCGTCTGGAATACACACACACATGCCTGAAATGAAAGAGATTTTGAAGACTTCATTAAGACAATGACTGCTGTTTTTTTTTTTTTACCTGTTACTATTTTTTTTAAATTGTGTATTAGACAAATTGTGTTGATTTAAAATGTAACCTCTTTCTGCCCTTTTCATCCCTGTGTCCAAGTTCTAATGCTGTTTGAAGCTGTGTCTATATGTAAGGAATATAATTGAAATAATCATTTTCAAATGTGACTTTTGGTAGTTTTTTTTGTTTGTTTGTTTTTCCTGGAGCTGGGGTAATGAGAACATTTGGACGAATCAATATATTGGGTCACAAGTACTGGCATATAATTTATATTTTAGAATTTTATATTATAATTTTAATTGGCACATCATCTGTCATTTCTGATGGAACAGAGTGGAACAATAAAGCAAAGCATTAAGTTGATAAAATTAGGTTTGAAACAGTGATTTGATTGTTTAAATGTGATTTTCAAGTAGGGAATTTTACTTAGGGGATGATAAATGAAATGCAAAATGATTTTGTTAGTTTCATGGTCATAATGATAAATATTAATTAACTGATGAGTGGTCCCAGCCTAAGTTGATGAAAAGTGTTAAAGTCCACCTGCTCCAGCTGGCAGAAACATTAAAGGACTGTTCCAGAGCGATACCTTCCTCTATTTTTTAACAGCTTTCTCAGATAACTCTCAGCCAATCAAATGTACTCTACAAATGTAGCTTTAGTCAGAAATAAAAATGCAAATTAAAGTAAAAGCGATAAAAAATATTCTAATTTGAGCTAAACCTTTGTTCTGAAAATACAACAAGGATATGGGAGAAATGTCAATGTCACCACTATCTGATGATCACTGCAAAATATGCTTCAAAATTCAGATTCAACTATAGTTTCGTCCCTGTCTGGTTGACATGTAAGTAGAGCTGGAGAGATTATGGAAATATGTCGATTTGCAAATAAACATCGGAATGAAGTTCAAGGTTAAAGCAGGGTTTCCCTGTGAGAGCAAGCTGCTGCTAAAAAGACCTTCACTACGAGTATGATCATCTAAAGAGTATTTTAGACGGTCCGCACAATGTGGTGCTCTGTGAGCTCTCTTCATTGGAAAGGGCTTATGACACTTCAACCTGAAACGCTTTAAGACCGCACCTCATATCCTGTTGCTTTTATGTCCCCACACAAACACGATATAGTAGGATGATCAACACAACAAATGTCTCCCTGTTAGTAGTAGCCACTTACCGCCCCCATTTTAGATGTAATTTCTGCCCCGCTTCTGTCACATACTGCACGCATAGTAACGTAACGTTACACCAGTTTACTTCAACAACCACGTATGAGTGAGAAAATGTCTTTAACGTTACAGACTGTGGTTATATCACTGCATATCACTCCACTGAGGAAATAAATCTAAAACTAAACATTAAGCCAGACTTTCTAATAAGACACCCGATATAAACCTGTTTTTAACTTGGCCTTTTTCATGCCTAGTAACTAATTCACTAATGCTTTATAAGCATTATTTGTTTTATTAGCTGGTGTAATTCCTCTCCAGCAAGACACTTGATTTAGATTTCTAGATAGTTCTTTAGTTCATTAATAGATTAATTGCTTGTGTTATTTTTGAAGGAAAAATGTTTAAAACATTATTAGTTCCAGCTCCTCAGATGAGAATATTTCCTGGTTTTCTTTGTCCTCTGTGTCAGTGAAATGAATAACCGTTTTGGACAAAACATTTGCAGACACCACTTTGGATATTTCTTACTAATTTTTGGCATTTTATAGAACAAATGTTCGATTTCAAAATGAAGCATTGATTGCTGCCCCGATGCATTTATTAAGAATTTATTAACATTCATAACTCATTAGAAAGTGAGAAACCCTCAAGCCTTTATGAATCTATTACCAACACTTATAACTGCATTATTACCCGACAGAAATGATTAACATTAGCCAGATGTAAGCCTACTCACAAGCTGCTAACCTGATCTATAAACCATTAGTAAGTAATTTATTAGCCACTAATAAAGCATCAACTCAAATGTGAACGTTTGCAGCTGCTCAAATAAAATATCTTAAATTTAGCATGTATAAAATTAGAGTGCCTTCACATTTAGAGATCAGCTACTGTCTTATTTAGCTGTAAAAACAACATTTATAAAACTCAACAGCAACGTTGTCTGTTCATTAACAAGGTCACAGTAGCTGTGGATAATCAGCAGTTCCCCTTTGGAAACGTTTCAGTAATAATGCACAGAGGAGCTGATTTACTGCAACATTCAGGATGGCAGAATTTGAAAAGGTTTGATGTTTCTCACCACCAGGTGGAGTCATCACATGTTTTTTTTCCCACTCTTCCCCTCCTCCTCTTCCTTCCCTGTTTCCCTTCTTCTCTCTTTTCTTCCACCTCCATGTCCTTCACATTCTCCTCCTTCTTCCACCTCCCTGCTTCCTATGCCTCCTTGTCTCCTCTCGCCCTCAGAAGTAGAAAACTAAGAGGGATAATGAGCCTCGGGGGAGAGCCAGAGAGGAGACAGAGCCTCTCCCACACTAATTAAGACTATCAGGGTCCGATTAAATGGCTGTTAAACACACACTCACATGTACTGTGGTGGATCAGTGCCAAGTCTTGACTCTGGCCAAAGAAAGTAAGAAGGATGAGGAAGAAGGTTGGAAACTGTGAAAAGTACATAAATAATGACAAATGAGACAAAAGGCAACACTTTAAAAAAACAGACCTGAAACACCAGCAGCGCCCATCTATTCAATGCAAAATGACCCTGACCTCTGTTATGGTGTCTCAGAAACATTTATCCTGTATTCATCAGGCTGAGGAACGTCAAACATTAATATACAGAAGGCTCCATAAAAAGAAAACTGCATTTTCACGCCCCCACAGTGAAAGCACA